CTAAATCGGTGACTAAATCGGTCACTAAATCGGTCATTAAATCGGTCCATCGAATCGAGCCATTGAATCGGTCACTCGATTCGGTCCATTGAATCGGCCATCGAATCGGTCATTGAATCGGTCATCGAATCGATCATCTGAATCGGTCATCGATTCGGTCATCGAATCGATCATCGATTCGACTGATCGATTCGACCATTGAATCGATCCATCGAATCGGTCATCGATTCGATCATCGAATCGATCATTGATCTGGCCATTGAATCGGTCACATCGATTCGGTCATTGAATCGGTCACTAAGATCGAGTGACCAAGGAAATAGTGACCGATTGTAGTTGGTCACTATTTCGGCCACTATTTTAATTAGTGATCGATTTTAGTTATTTAGTGACCGAATTTTCGGTCACTATTTATTGTTTTTCTTGTAGTGTATGAATGAGGGGTGTTGAAGATTTTATATTTTTCTTCTAAATCTAACTAAAATATAATGTATAAATGGATAATAAATTTCGTTTTACTAATCCATTTTGTGATTTTGAATTAAATCTAATTGAAAAAACAAAAGTGATTTAATCTTAAATGAGTTTGACAAGTAAAAAAAATAAAAAATCCTGAGAAGAATATAAACAGAACTTTAATCTGTATACATAAATAAATTAGAACGAACAACATTGATAAAAACAAGTGATGGGATTGAAGATAAATTTTACCCATCAAATTCTTCAAAATAAACATTCATATATTTTAACAAGTAATTAATGTTAAGTATTTAACATAATTAAGTTCAAATACTTCAAAACACATCATAAATAAATTATCCATTATTAATATATTTAAACACTTATAATAATGTATAATACAACATAAATTAATTGACAACTCACATATAAAAAATAACCAGTTATCAATTAAAACCTAGCTAATTTGTAATAGCTTGGTCTATATTTTATCATAATTTTTTATACAATAATTAAAGATTTCATTGAGTTTAAACTAATCATAAGACACTTTATGAATGTAATATATAACATGCTTCATGACTTCATCATATCAAATATTTTATCATATTAGAAGTCATACTTTATTTGTCTCATGTTATGTAGTATATTTTAAATATTTATTAGACTATCTCATATTTTATTAATTAATTTTATCTTTGAATCTTAACATGATTTCAGAGTCAAAATCCAACTTATTTTTGATTATTATCTTAGGCCAACAATTATTCTTTTGTTATAGGTCAAAAATACTATTTATCTGGTCCAACTGATTTTGTTAGAGAGATTGTGTTGGAAGTCCTATCTCATCAATCCCATGTCATGTGGTATAATATGATTTAATATTTATTAGATTACTTCACACATTACTAACAAATTAGTTTTATGTTGGAATCTTAACAAAAGTCTTACATGCATGCTCCAAATTTAATGATAGGTAAAAAATAACCATTATGATTAACATGAATAATGATGTGTATAAATATTTATTGAAGTTTTCATTGTTAAAGAAACATAACTTAATTACCCATTTGATATATAGCTACGATGATTTTTTTATTTTTTATTCTTATACTCTAAAACATTTCATTTTCGTGTCTATAATTATGGTTCTTTTTACTCTTTTGATCATTAAGGTTTAAAATAATGTGATAGCATTTGATATAAACATGGATTGATTGAATCATATCCTGTTTATTTGAGAAAGCATTAGTTGAAACTTGAAGTGAGAATTGTAGAGTTAAAAAGTATAACTATAGAACTAAAAAGTGATGTTTTAACAGGGATTAAAATTGTAATTGCTGTAACTATAAATACCAAAAGAAAAATTAAATAAATTATATATATATATACTAATTAATCCAACAAAATTAATCATAACTTGAACACACCGTTATGCAAAGCTATTTTGGACTTAGGTTTAATAATAATTTAATATAGTAGGTAGGAAACATTAGTTATGGCCATTTTATTCTCTATGGCCCTCACTTTGAATATGTGAGTTGAGGGTAGGAAATGGAAGTTAAGAAAATTGATTAAGTGGGATCATGAAAGACTTAATTTATGACCTAAATATATATAATACTAATCCGTTGGAATTGTCGGTTGTTAGTTAAAAAAATGATTTTTTTTTCTGTTACTTATAAAATTAATAATAAAGAAAATTATAGTGCATGAGAATTTGAAAAAGGGAATTATTTATTTTTTAAATGTTCTCCAACATATATATAATCATTAAATAAGTGATTCCTTAAACATATTTATATTGATTTGATCCTGGAACAGTGTGTTGGGATGATTTTATGTGTTGAAATGTTAATGTTGTTATAAGTTTGGAGGAGGAAGATAATGGAAGAGAAGAAGGGAGAGAAGAGGTCCCCTCAGGGGTCTCAAATTTGTGTAGCTGCACGTGGTGGTGCTCGATAAAAGTGTGAACTTCCCAATCTCTGCTTGATTTGGGAAACCTCTTTTCCTTCATTATATAGGTACTGCGTCTGAAGACACATGCCACGTGGCATGTCTCGTGAGCCATGGAAATGGCATGTGATCACTTTCATGCCCTCACTCTCAATGTGTTGGCCCTATCTACCTTCCCCTCACGTAGTTGTGTTGTGTCCTAAGAGGGATAATTCATTCATGCCACACCAGCCATTAAAGAACCTTCAGAGCAGAGAAATTTCCATCAACATTCCCCCCACATTTTCTTACCTTGCTTCCCTATCCTCTTCCACTTTTCACATTATTGACCATCAAAATCTCTTTCTCTTACGAAATTTAACTTATCTTATAATAACATTATAACATATCAATTTTATATTATTAAGTTAATTTTATAAAATTGAATCACGTGATATCAAAATCAATTTTAACAATGTCAAAATTATTAAAAAATGACTAAAAATATGATAATATTATAATATATAAATTAATACAAAATTTATTTTATTATAAAATTAAATTAAATTTATCTTAATTTTTAATAATTTAATCTCATTTTTCACCCATAATAACAAATTAAGAATATAATAAATTTGGCACATTCAAAACTTTTACAAGTGATATATATTAAGAATAATATATATATATATATATATATATATATTATTTTTAATTTATTTAAATATTTTTATAAATAAAATCATGACAAAATTAAACATTAATTTAAAAATAAATAAGAGGTTGAAGGGTTATGATATAATAACATTATGAATTTAAAATAAAATTATTAAAATATTATCATAGATTAATTTCTCCTATTTTGTTTATTGTTATGGACTCCAAAAATACAATTATTTTAATTTCAATGATCAATTGGATTAAGAGGGAGAAAATTGTGTTATTTTTTAGTGTTTCTTTTAATTTTAATTTTAATAATGTTGGGTTTTACACTGAATTTAAAGCCAAGAAGTATATTACTATACTCCCTTCATCCTATCAACATAAGTATTTTACACACAAAAAATATTAGTAAATAAACTATATTAATTTTACAAATTAACCATCTGATGATCATTAGTTCATTTATAATTTGTTTGTGGTTCATCATTTTCTCAGGGATATAAACAGAAAAAACAAATAATATTTAAAAAGTTAAACATTTTTTTCCTCTTAACAGAAGCTATTATGAAACAGAGAAGATTGTTTTTTTTTGGGTGATGGGTTTATTAACGCTGTATATTCCTGTGATATGGTCTTCTGAGTTGCATTTGGAGATATAGTATTCCTTTGTACTTTATTATTAATAAAGTTTTTGTCCATAAAAAGAATTCCTAATCTATCCCCCTAATGAAACATGTAACATCTAGCTACTAATTGCATGAATTTTCTATAAACGTATGCAAATCACTTTAGCTAAACTCGTTGCTTTCTTGAATTTACTTAGCATGGCAAAGATTAAGATGGTGATTTGACAAAATGATTGAGCTAATTAAGGACAATAAGATGAGGTAGAACAATAATAATGAAGCATCATCATCCATCAGTTTCGTTGAGATCCAAGTCAGAAAATTAATGCGGTTTGTTTTTGTTTGAAGGAACATGGGGGTGTTGACCAATTGCTGCATGCCATGTGGGAAAAGAGAAGCAATGAAGCAATGTTGTTGCAGCTAGGTGGCTACTACTTTACACTACTGGTTTGGCTTTGACTCACAAGCCTGAAACATTGGAGCGATGAGTGTTGAAGATGGTAGAGGTTTAGGGGTACAATTACTTGGAATTCTGTGATTAGCAATGCAATTTTACAGGGTATCCCTTCAACTGTAGAGGATCCGTTTCCTATGATCACATGGTCCTGCTTATAGAGACATGTACATTATGGCCCACTTTGTTAGCTTAAAAACAAACACACTCTTCTTAACCCACTTGAACCCCAACCCCAATATGGGAACACACACAGAAGAAGAAACCTAATCTCTCTCCCTCTATCTCTCTCTCCCTTTTCTCTCTTACTCTTCATTTTAATTAAACACCATGTTTTGGACACTGCCTTCCCAATGCAATTGTTTTCTTCTCATCCAACACCACTGTTTATCTATGTTATTGTACTCTTCTCTTTCTCTCTCTTTCTTTATTTCTTTCTCCATCTTTCACTCTTCCTTTGTGTGTGGTCCTTTGATTTTCCCTCTCTTTATATCCCTCTTATCACTTTCTCCATTTCTGCATCCCTAGCCTTGTATCCCAACACTACTATATCATAGCCTTTCTCTCCCTCTCCCTCTGCATATTATATAGCTTGTCTTTTATTTGTTACCCTCCAAACCAAACCAAAACCATTTTCAATCTTTTCTTTATTCCCTCTCCCACCTTCTTCATCATCTCCTTTAGTTTCTTTCTTCACTTGTAGCTAGTTTGCATAGTAATAAACTGAACTGAAAGCTACATAGCAGCAAGTGGTGATAATTAAGTACTGTGCACTATTATATTTACACCAATTAAGCTCTATCTAGCTATATATATACATACATATATATATAGAGAGAGAGTCAGAGAGAGAGAGAGAAAACATGTCTAGCAGAAGGTCAAGGCAACAATCTGCATCAACAAGGATCTCTGATGACCAAATCATCGACCTTGTTTCCAAGTTGCGTCAACTTGTTCCTGAGATTCGTGATAGACGCTCTGATAAGGTATTTCAGAACCCTTTTTCTCTTTATCTCTCTAGGTGTCAATCAGAGTGAAAACATGTGTCCCCTTATAACATGTGTTATAGTAATATGACACATGATGATGATTATAAGTCATTTAAATATAGGTAAATATTGCACTGAAAATATATAAAAAGTTACTAACTAGAAGATACTAATTAGCAAGATCTTAATAATATTATCATTCAACAACTTTCGCTTTCCTTACTTAACATTGTTTAGGCCATGTACAAGTAGATAGTTCGATAATGGGTATTAAGTATTGTTGTTTTACAACGACGAGACAGAGGTAAAGAAGATGTAGTAAAAAATGCTGTATAAATAAAATAATACAACTATATTATACTTAGTTTCACGTGGGTTGAAGCAGCTATGTATGTGCATATATATACATATATAGATGATGATGAAGCCAGAAACAAAGAATTGAGATCGAATCAATGGAATGCTATTTTGTTATGTTTTGTTTGTTGCTGTGACAACTTCTGTACTCACCCAATGGCGTATGACTCGGGTCACACATGTAAGTGATATAGTATATTATAATAATGATAATTTTAAGTGGTCAAAGAATATGTTCAGAAATTGACCATATGATAAAGGAAAAGTTGCCAACACTCCAAATCTTATGCAGATCCTAGAGTCGTCAAAGAGTTCACATTGACTCGATCGTACAAATATATATATATATATATATATATATATATATATATATATATAACTGTTAAAGATTAATAACAGTAACGCAGAACCCCAGAAAGAAAGAGACTTCAAAAAGAAAAAAGGTCTGTGCAGTGTAACAATCATGTGGTTCATTTGGACCAATTCGTGAAACGAACGTTCCTGTATGGTCTCTGAATAAGATTGCATCGTACATAAAGATACATATCATTCACTGAACAGAAAAAGAAAAAGAAAATTACATGTTTTACAACATATATATTCACTTTTATAAATACTTTTTAAATGTTAAATTACTCTTTTTATTTTATTTTTCTATTGTTTTATTTTATCTGTTTATCATAACACAACTTTATCAGATAAAATGTATTAATGACTAAAGATATATATTTGGCTTAAGAGCATACCAGTCATCAACCTTGGCTTAGTGATCTTCTTCTTCTTCTTCCTTCTCACTCTTAAATAATTATGAGCATGTTCGAAAAACAGTTAGAATATATATTTGTTCCTTTCTACTGAGCGTTGGTTAACAAATTGTCTGTGAGAGAGGAAGAGTATGTTGTTATACGTTGATATAATGATGGTTATAACTTGTAAAGTACTGGTTTCTTGTGCAATATGAATGGGTGAATGATATAGCAGACACTGACTTATGGTTTGCAGGTATCAGCATCTAAGGTCCTACAAGAGACCTGTAACTACATCAGAAGCTTACACAGAGAAGTGGATGACTTGAGTGAAAGACTGTCTCAGTTGTTGGCCACAATTGATGCTGATAGTCCTGAAGCTGCTATAATTAGGAGCTTAATTAACTAGTAATGATAATTAAGAAGCAAGTAATATATAAGAGTGTATTAGTTTCTTCTTCTTAGGTGGCATAGAGTGCAGTTTGAGGTGCGTCCTTCCAATACTATAGTATATGGCAGGAATGGTGCACTTGTAAGTCAAAGGTTTTGTAATAATAATCAAAATTAAGGACTCTGTATTATGGCTATAGTGTTATATATATACATACATATATATATATATATATATATATATATATATATATACATATATATATATATATATTATTAATATATGCATGCCACATTTATAGATGGCCAAAATGTATTATTTGTTAATTTATTTTAGTTTTTTATTTTTTTTTAAGAACTTGGTTTCTATTGGAATCTAATGACGTCTTGTGATATTTATCTAGCTGACATATCTAGATAGTGAAATAGGGTACTAATTATCATTATTATATCGCTGTGAGTTTCTGGTTTGTTCTAAAGATATTTTAAGAGTTAGTACCAGAAGCTAATATTTCCTTAAACAAATGTTAAGCTTGTTAGAAATTATAAAACCATTTTTATTCCTTCTCATAATTATTTTTCAATAAAAAAGAATAGTGTTCTAAAAAATTTCAAATTGATTAATGTTTTTGGTTTTCAATGGTTTTTTTTTCTTCTTCTAATTTATCCTAAATAATTTATATTAATGTTTTTATTTGTAGCCATGAAAGTTATGTATATATTGAGTTATTTTAGTAAAACTATTTTAATAAATTTCATTTTTATTGTTATTCTTAATTCAAGTAAAAAAAAAATCTTATTATGCAAGAAAGAGATAAATCAATTCTCTTGGGAAACAAGTTAATAAGATCCATATTGCAAGACATCAAAATTATAGGTTAATGTTATGTATCATATTGTCATCAAGAAACATCATAATTGATATATTTTATGAAATAATTAGGTTTTATTCTTTGTTGATGACTTATTATTTTAAGAGGAGAATATGTTGAATTTTTTAAGAAAATGGAGGCTACATATAAAATATAAGATGAAAAGATTATGCAAGATGTGATTAATTACTTGAAGTTTGTCGGCAAAGTTGAGTTCAAGTTTCTAAAATATGTGAATATTATAAACAAGTTCACATTGCAAGAGTTTTGACGTGAAAGTGATTTGATCGTAATGTTGGATAGTTAGCCATATAATAGAAAAAGATCCCCCATTTTTGTATTCAGAAAGTGACAACAAGCCAAGACACAAACCATAAAGTGTCTTGGTTTTATGAGTTAAAGGTTAAAAAATTTGAAACAAGTGGTTACTCAAGAAAGCGTGCTCAAGTTTACTTTTGCCTATAATTAACATGATTTTGGATTGTATTATACAAATCATATTTTTGTACAAAAGTTTATTTGTGTTTAATTGTTCATTTTCTTTAATTAGACATGTTGAGTACCACACTAAGTTTTGTTTAATGCATAGACATCAACTTGTCTCTTTCTCTTTGTTTTCAAACAAACCCTATAACATTATGTCCTTTGTTAATTAAGGATTTGCACTTTTTGTCGTTGCTTCTTGTCGATGAAACTCTATATGAAGTAGTAAGAGTTCATTTTTGTTTGATTTAACTTATTTTGAATAATAATTGTTTTTTTTTGTTTGTTTTTTTTTTAAATTAATTAGCGTTTATTTCTTAAATCTAATTATTTTTAATGAATCATTTAGAATGTGAAATGTGAAAGCAAATGAAATAATAAATTTATTATTAGAGTTTAAGGATGAATTGAATTTATATTATATAAAAAAGAAAAAAATTATATATAGAAGGAAAAAAATTTATAAATATATTATTTTTAACTTTTTATTTATTTATTAAAAATGATGTTATAAAATGTGATTAACTTTTGACCTAAAAAGTGATGTTATATCATCTTCATTACTTCATTCTGAAATTTATTTATTGATATTTGTCATATGCCATCTCTCACCCTCCCATTCTCACTAGTGTTAATGGAAGATATGAAGTGTTGGCATTGGAGTTCATTTATTTATACACATTCGTTTATCAACTAGGTTAAATTTGAGTTAAAAATCGAAGTTGTTGAATAATTTGAGTGGATTGGTTTATTATATATATAATTAGTTAAACTATACATTCAATAATTTTTACATAATATAAATATAAATATAATAATTTTTATATGCATGATCTTGTTAATATAATAAGAATATGAAATTCAAATAGTTGGATTGATTATATTTATATTATTTAAAATTATTGATGGTGTAATTTGATTAACTTTTACTCTCCAAATATAATATACGTGGAGATTAAATATATTGGTGTTTTTTCTCAAAAAATTAATATTATTATACAAGTGGATGAAAATACAAAATAGACTTTCATATACTAAATTATAAATTATATTAATTATATTCTGCTGACTTATATATGCGAGAGTATTTACGTGTACTCTTGATTTTTTTTTTAATTATTAGTAAGTATTTAAATTTATTTTATTTTATACCTTTAATCTTATATATTTGAATTAGTACTCTATTATATATATATGTGTAGTTGAGAATGTACAAATACATTATTTGATTTAAAAAATAAATTATCCTCAATTAGAGTTTTACTTATTATATTATATATTAAAAAGCTATAAATTAATTTATATATTATCCATCTAATCGATATTCAAACAATCTGAATCACATAAAAAAAGTACTAAAAAAAACATGTTACATTTGAAACAATCAAGTAAATGAGTTGAAAATTAACTGGAAATCAAATTTGAATCTCTTATGAAAATAAAACATAGTGCATAATCTATTAGCAAATATTGCATTGTTAATAACTTTATAACAAGTGAATTTTATCGACGTAATAGTTAAATAATAATTTTATTAAATTGAACAGGCTAACAAATCTTGATTATATAAATAAAACATAGGATAATTTTAGATTAATATAAAATATTGGATATATTATAATGGAAGGAAGGTTCAATCTAACAATTTTTTTTTTTAATATGAACCGAACAATATTAAAATATTTAACATTTAGTAATTATTATATATATAAATACAATGAAATGTACAATTTAAAAATTGACTGTGTTTTCTGCCGACAAATTAGAAAAGAAAAAGGGCAATTTTACAAGTAATTCCAATTTTCGAAAGCAGCATGCATGAGAAGAAACGTGGCTGTGAATAAGCCAAAAATTTATTGGATGATTGATTAGCCATTGACACAATTTTGAGTACTGAAGCTCGTACAATTTAACCCTTCGTTTCTTTTTTCTTAAATAATATATTATTAATAAAAAAATAAAAAATATAAAAATATAAGACACTATAAAATAGTTTATAAAAACTTAAAATAATAAATATACAAATAAATATATTTAGTTATAAAATTTTAAATATATAATAAATCTTATATGATAATATTATATATAAATTAATTTTATAAGATTAAGTAATATTGGGATATCATCAATTAATAAATGTAGAATAAATCATTAGATGTTGAATCAATATTAAACAATAAATTCCTTGATACGAGATAAAAAAAAAACATTTTTATATGAGTGAGTATAATAAAAAATTCCTTAAAAGAGTAGGTTGAGAAATCTTATTTTAATTACCTATTAGATAATATCATAATATATAAAATTAAATTAAATATTTAATTCTTTTTAATATTATATTCAAGAAAAAGCTCGAATATCCAACAATAACAACTCCTACAAAATAAAATAAAGGGAATCATTTGAACTCCAAAGTTATGAGTTATGCTATTAAGTGCATCCATTTAATTTAATCATCATAGTTTTATCGAGAAGAAACGTAAACATAAAGTTTATAAACTCACACAAATCAAAGATCGAGAATGAAGCGAAGTAAAGGAGAGAGTGTTGTAAAGAAAGTCAAATAGATTTGTGTGCTAACTTTTTAACATGTTTTTAAAAATATTTGTAAAAAACACTACTTACGAAACACAATTCAACATTTTCTTTAGTTTTCTTATGATCTTACGTTAAATTTTATAGTTGTTTCTCTAAGTTCGAATATTATTTTTTGTCCGTTTGTAATTTTCAAATTTATTCTTATTGCTTTATATTTCTTTGGTCTTGGAGTCCGAAAAGTTTTACCTACAATAATATTGGAATATTAAGTTAATTGTGAGAAATATCGAGCACCTAGTGTATATAATGTATATATTATCATAATAATTTGATAATTTTGTTCATTGTAATGGATAGAATAACTTTTCTGTGAGATATTAAAACAAATATAAATAAATTCAAAAAATTATAAAGTATTTGTATATTTATTATATAAGCTATATATCTCTTAATATTAGGGACCAGAATTTTCTCTATCACGTGAATTTCACACTATACCTTCCCAGTACTCAATTGTTGTCTAATATGGTTTTGGGCCCTGACAGGCCCAAACAAGGCCTTTTTATTTGCAGAATTAATAGACTCAGAATCAGGGTTTGAGGCCTTATCTACCCTAAATTTCATAGAGCCCACTTAGTGCTGTCTAAAACCATTTGGGTCAGCTATGTTCAAACCTACTCTCTACACTTCCCTTTTGTACTAGATACACTCTACTTTTTATTTTATTTAAAATTACACATTTATCCTTTTTTTTTTGTGAGTACTTTCCGGAAAATACTTTTTATTTTCCTTTTACACTCTCTATACGTTTTATTTTTAAAATCGGGAAAATACTTTTCAGAATGCTAAGAAAATAAACAAGTGTTTCTGAAAAATATTTTATGAAGAGACATTTAACCAGATTTGTGAAAAAATTAAAAGAAAAAAGAGAGAGATTATATTAAGATAATGATATTATTTTAATGTAATGAGAGAAAAACAAACTTGATTTATAATGATGCTAGAAGTATCGTGGAGGGATTGAGAAAGTGAAAGGAGAAGTGCATAAATGCAAAGGAGACAAGAGTGTTTTCAAAAGAAGAAAAAAAGAATAAGTAAATATGTTATTTTAATTAAAAGTAACAAA